TGGTCCACATGCACACCAGTGTTACTGGTTTTACACCACTGCCTTCCCAAATTGCTTATAAAATACAGTTCACCACTAGGAGCCATGTCCAGTTTTCCCTCACAGCAGATCTCTTGAGTCCATCAAAAAAAAGCTGTTTTGTTTTTTTCCCAGGGTGCACTGAAGGAACTTTGAATAGAGGCTGTCATCTGATTTTGAAAGACTCAGGATAGCAGGATCCCCTGGACAGCTCTCTCCAGTGGGAAATGGCAATTTTGTTCCAATGTCTCTTCCACACAGAAAATCTGTTGATTTTCCCTCATTCTGGGAGGCAGTTTCCCATCTGCTGCTGAGTGCTATGATGCTATAACTGTGACCATAGCCTAAGCAGTTTCAAGATGACAGTGAAATGTGCATTTTTAAGACTAAAGAGAGAAGGAAAAGCCTGATGTCGAGACAGGAAGCTGATGAGTCCTGTAAGAGCTGACTCTGCTACAGACTGTCTTCGTGAGAACAGGAGATGAGCAAAAAGTGACCTGCAAGAGACAGGAAGAAGCCCTGGGAAAAGCTGGCTGAATATTTTGAGAGTCAAAGAGAAGATCTACGGAAAAACTTACTTTGGGCTTATATATATATTCATGCTTCCAGTCTAGGATTATTTGTGAGTAACATGCATGTTTGTACAGGTCCATGTTATTGCACATCTTCAGGTGTATAGGTAGCTATGTGAGAAATTATTCCTGCTCTGTGTGCCCATCATCATACTTGATGTGGTTTTTTTCATTATAAAGTACATTTATTAATTTCCAGATTTATTAAGTGCACATATGGATTTTATGGCAAATGATCCAGGTGTTACAAGGAATTGAACATGACTCAACATCATGACTGCAAAGGTAACTTCAATGAGTTTAAAATAAGTAATAATACACTAAATTGACAACAAAGAGCAGCAAAAGTTTTCATTGAGCATACAGAATGACTTTAAGGGAAATTAAGCATTCTGCCATCCCTGAGGGACTAGGGTAAAATCTTCAGCATCCCAAAAGTAAGACATTTTTACTTAGCAAACAGAGTAGATGAACAGTCTCCCAAGCTAGTATCTTAAAGGAAAGTGCTTGGCTGTCTTTCTGTCATTAAATGGGGAAAAGGAGCATGCAGTCAGGATGGAAGGAGAATGTAACTCATCAGTGAGGGGAAAGTGAGGTCTTTGCAGATGTACATCAACTGCTTTGAACTGCACCCTGTCTACTTTTCCTCAAATACAGCTGCTTTTCAAAATATTTTAATGACCACATATTAAAACACTAGATGATAGACAAAATAGATACTTTTAAGATCTTCAAATAACTGAAGATATCCTACAAGGCTCAATGGGTATAGGTAAGGAGTTAAGGTTATCCTTGAGGACAAAACTCTGCTTCCTTTCATACACACCTATCTACACACACATATACCCCTCTGCCCCCAAATTTCAAATTGACCATACATGGCTATTTTTGTATTAATAAAGCTTATTATGTGGGAGTACTCTCATTAAATTACAAAAGCAAGCATGACAGAAAGCTGCAAGGAGCAAATATCACAGCACACAGGTATTTCTGCCTCTGTCTAATTTCTTGGCACTATCCACACTGTGATTGGACCCTGTGCTCATCCCTCCTGCACCTTCAAAGTAGCTACAAAACCCATCTGAAAACCAGGGAAATGGTCTCGTGGTTGGTTGAGCTCCATTAAACCCACAGTCACAGAAGCAACTGCAGTACAAAATGTCCCTCTGGTACTTAAGTTTTAGAAGTTTGCTTTTTACTTTCTGCAGCTCCCTTCACTCTCAGAGAGGTTTCACAGAGCAGTTGAACTAAGATAATAGTTACCAGCCTCAGAAGAGTGGTGTCACTCTTGTTTCTCCTCCACCCCACCTAACCAGCCTCAGCTGATCACTCAGTCAGACATTCTCAGCGAGATGGTTCAATTTTCTGCAAGCTATTAATTACTGTAAATGATCCACAGGGCAGAACTGACACCCTCAGACCAGAAACGGACTTAAATCCTAAGTCTCCAAATCCAGCTGTCTTGTTCAGCAAGTCTGGTGAGCCCAGGTAGTCATCTTTCCAGACTGCATCCAGCAATGAGTAGTGATCACACAGCCTTCTGAAAGATAAGTATTATTTATAAAGGTATTTAGGTGTTTCCTCTCACCTAAGGCCAGCCACTTCTGGCTGCTGCTTCTTATTCTTCCCAGATCACAGCTCTGCCTCAGGCAAATTCTCCTGAACCATAAAATCCCATCTCTCAAAAGATCACCCTTTGAAATCTACCATCTACTTTTTTTTTTTTCCTCCTGTATTTAAGGGGCATTTTTTGCCCTGGTTCAAATGGCTGAAGAGGAACCTTCAGAGTTGATAGAACTTTCCTAAATGATTCTTAATAGTGTGCCAAGAAGTTTCAACCAGGGCCATTCCTTCTCCTTCCCCCTTCCAAATCTTCCATTAAGTGAAACCAATGTATTTTTACAGTAAACATACCACTAAACTTGTCCATATATAGACTGATTTGATTATTATTGCAGAGCAGCTCTGATTTTTCCAAAGCAACTTATCTTAGTCATCACTATACAACACAGAAAAAGTCATAAAATGAGAAAGTAAAAAAGAAACTCAAAACCTTCTCTAACATTCCTCATTGACAGCATCTTCTTCATGTATTTCACCTCGTCCTAAGTGTTTCTCCAATGCTTTATTAACTTGTTATACTCTGCCTACCAATGAAAGTGAGCCAAACAGGGTGGCATGCTTAGGAGGGAACATTTTTTGATGCAATAAAGGAAGTGAAGTATCTCCTATGAACTTAAACTGCAAAGCTTTGGGAGATAGAAGCCTGGGAAAGCGGAATGAGAACATGCTGAAAACACAGAGTGAATATCCATACTGAAAAATTACTATAGAATATATAATTACAAGTACTTGGGAGCTCAGTGTTTTGTCTCATCCCCCTTAAAAGCTGCATTGTGACAGGAGCCAGCATCAACTCTAACTGTGCCACCAGCAACAATGACAGTTATTATTACTTTTTATTATATGTGAATTCTCCATTTGTTCCTGCAGCTAATATGTCTTTTAATCTGGTACCAGTACAGCATAGGTGATTTCTGTTTTTACTGGCAACAACATATTCCCTGCTGAGAAAATATGACTTGTCATGGAAAAGGCTTAATCTTGAAATTCAGCTATTTTTTGTTTCTTGGTGGCCTCTAATTGCAAGCTTGAGGCAGTGCACAATAATTATCAGTCTGCAAGCATGAAAAGGAGCAAATGCCAGTCAGGCTATATGGTTGCTTTGTGCACACAACAACATGTAAAGAACTCTGCCATGTCAGTGGTGGGCTGGCAGTTGCTTCTTCAGTGTAATGGCAGTGATTCAGCTGGTAACTGGATGAAAAATTGAAGCAGGTTTCCCTGTTATGATTCTTTCATGCATCTCTGTCAATGACAGTTTACATTCTGGGATTGAGATAATTTGTTTCCTGTTTGCTCACAGCTTCAGGCTTTTCTTGTTTGCCACCGTGGATTTACAGCCCTCCCCCCCCAGCAAACCACATCTAAGGGGTTGAGGGATTACAAGGCTTAATACTTTACAGTTCAGCACATGTAGCAGAAAGTTAGAACTACTGTAAAAGGAATGATGACTAGATATTCCTGTGAAATGGATATGTACATGTGTGCAGATATGCATGTCTACATAGAAAGAAGCCCATAGAGCAGTCCACATAGTGGTGAGATGCTAGACTAAAAGCTTTAGTAGCAGCCTGTCTTCTCATAAACTGAGGCAAAACCTCAGAGAGAAAAAACTTATAAATTCAAATAACCTTCTTTATCTGGTTTTTTTCCCCTAACCCTACTTGGAAAATGATAGCGAAGTAAAATACACCCTTCAAAAGACTTCTAACAGTCCAACCTTCCTGTAGTTTGATGAAAAAAAGATGTTTCTGTATTCATACAGTCATTAAACATAAATGAGGGTGTGATCTTAAATATTTTACCCACATGCTTCACTACCACCAATACATGTACCTCTCCATGCCTACCTGAAGTAGGGAGCTGCTACTAAGTACATTAACAAATGAATAAGCACTGACAGGAATGGTAAGGCTGGCATTTAACTCTTGCTAAAATTAACTGGAGTTGATTTCAACCTTGAAAAACATGACCCTAAGTTCTCAGAATAAAACATGAGTGTAAAGCAGTGAGACTAAAACAAAATGGTGAGTGTGTGATTAAATGGAGACCTGAATAGAAGTTGCCCAATCTACCATCTTTCTTACTCAGCTATCCTTTTTCTTTATCTATGAAAGGAAGTATTGTTTGTCTTTATCACTCTTGTCATGGTCAGCAAAACTGGGTGAAACACACAGTTTATTTGGTAAGTGCCACCTGCTTTTTGTTTTTCTATTCACTAGCTGCTCAGAAGCAGTTCAGCTTTTCCTTGAAAGAGTATTTGTATTCAGAGAATTATTCGTGGTTGCCAGCTTATTCACAAGCAGCTCATTACAAGTGCTCACTCTTTAAGTACTTTGTTAATTTTGATTAGATAAATGGCTATAGGGTATGTTTCTGTCCCTAACTAGATCTCTAAGTGTTCAGTTTCTTGATTAAGTACTCATGTTTACAAATTTACAGCTCTGTTTCTAAGACTTTTCTTAAATACTTATTTAATATACACTATTTCAAACATTACTGCCATAAGAAAATAAGCTTTGTCACAGCAGTTCAAGCAACAGTCTCTGGTGACTGAAGCTTTGGAAGGCGCATTACTTGTTTGAGTGAGTACAACTGAGGTCACCCTATTTGAAAATGCAAACATGATGTGTTATACAGGTTAGCTGTAAGAAAACTAGTCCTTAGAGGACTCACAGTGTATTATATGAATCCCTCTGAAGTCACTAGCATATTTTAAAATATAATGGCATAGTCAGATCATTAGAAATGTTTCTGAATGTCGACCACAGAATCAAATGCACTGACCTGCCCTGGTGCCTTTGCATGGTTCAGTGTTGCACAACTGTTGTTAAACTGCCTTCATCAGTGGGTTTATTACTGCTGATGTCAACAGAATTGTGCGAAGAAGCTTTTCAAAGGTGGTCTTAAGGACTTAAAATGAGACAAAACACAGCCATATTAGCCTTTTTTTTCCATCAGATTCACTCACATTTACTGTAGGTTGTGAGTGAATATGAATTGTAAGAATGAAGATGTGCCCTTTTGGGGAAATGGTATTAAATGGGATCTCAGGACCAAGTCCTGAATTAGGTTGGACTTTAAATATCATTTCCTTATGTCAGATGAAGTCAAGCAGAAGGGCCAAAAGGAGGCAAAGGACAACGTAGAGCCTACCAGAGGTGAGCCAGCAGAGGCAGCCAGGGAGTACAAGTGACATAAAAAGAAACAAACCTCCTTTGCAGCAAACGTGTTAAAGCCACTGTTTGAAATGACCACTATGAGCAGACCCTCCTAAAAAGAAAGTCAGGAAAAGGATAACCCACTTCTGCCAACTGAGTCAAGCCACAGTCTCCACGCAAAACTGACACTAAGTATTTTACTCTTTACAAATAGTCTTTATAATTGGGATTTTTAAATAATCCTTCTTAAAAGGGATTGCAGCTGTAATCAATTTGTGGAGGGCTGTTTTAATAAGAAGCTGCTCGAATAGGATTAACTATGAGACCCTAGACCTCTTTCCTCCAGTCCTTAAACTCCTATTTGAAACATTTAGATACCCCATAAATTATTTATTGGTCTTACAAGGTGTCATCAAGCTAAGAAAATGATGCTTGACAAGTTGAAAACCGTAACCATTTCCACCAATTTGTTAACAGCCTCTCCCACATGGCATGTAATGTCTCACTTCTGCCTTGTCTTACAGGAACAGTAGTTATATTCACCCATTGCACCAAAAGCACATGTGGAGAGCTGTCAGACCTTGTGCATTCTGTTTATTTCAGGAAATGTTCCAGAAAATAATTTATAGATAGCTTAAAAAGAGAATGTCAGAGTGGATTTCCTTTTTCTTGCAAGGTTCTTAAACAACAAGGGAACAGAAAAACCAGAGGTTTTCACCCTCTCTGTCTACGGCCTCAAAAAAACCCCCAGTTGACTCTTTGATTTCTGAACTGCACAAATATATACAGGCATGCTAGAGAAAGGAATACAGGTAAAATCTATGGAGGCTTTTGCCAAGAAAAGAGAAATCCCTCCTTCACCTGAAGTACATCTCTCAACGGCCATATCAGTCAGCTAAGGTTGGCAGTAAGGCTACTGGAATTTTTCTTTGCAGGGCTTCTCCAGCAACACTGGTTAGGGAAGACTCGTAAAAAGGCAGCAGGATAGGGAACGTATTTTTCTATAAGACATCTATCTCAAGGATCACTTCAAGCATGAGGCAATTTGCATTTAGCAAATATCTTAAGTCAGTCCTTATAATTCTGATTATCTGAGAAGGACAGAAACTCACTCCACCTGAAAATAGGTTTTTGCTCATCACTGCTTCTTGTGGGAATGTAACACAAGGTTTCATGCTTGCTTTCATCTGTAGGGTCTTAACAAACTGACTCCCATTCTGACAATGTTCAGTCATTAGTTACAGCAGTTTTGTGGGGATCTTAGGTCATAAGCACCTTGTTTAAATAGTTTGTTAGTTTTGTTTTGTTGGATTTTTAAAATTTATTTATGTATTTACTTTTTACAGCCAGCAGGAGATTATAGATTTGATCCATGGTGCAACCAAGCTTTGTACCATGAAGCAGTCCGTGTCAATGTATCACATAAAGCAATTAAAAAACTGGTTAAACAAAGACTTCAAAGTGTGAAGCTCTAATTTATTACATGCTGTTTATTTACTGTATTATTCTACTAATACCAGATCAGTCAGCCTTTAACAGCAATAATAAAACTGTCCATGGGACCAAGGCTCGTGGGGGAGTGACCTGTAGTTTTGCAAGTGTACAGTTTCCACAGACAGAATATTTGAAACTAAATCCACCTAAAAGCACAAAACGGTGGAAACTACAGATGCACACAAGTAAGGTTTTGTCTGATCTACTTCCTGATATAATTTCAAGTTCACTGAACTTCTTTGATGTTTGGTCATTTTAAGAGACAGTGACTGCTGAAAGCTTCTCTTCTGTTCAGTTGTGGTGCATGGGACACAGAGGAGAGAAGAACTGAGTTTATCAGATATTTAAACATTGGGACAGTGTGTGGTCATTTAATAGAAAATCCCTCCTTGTCTTAAAAAGGGAGAAAACAGAATACGAAGTGAAAAAAATAGGAAAAAACCCCCTATTTTTACTTTCAAAAATATTTAAGCTGTTTGTTTCTGACTCTTTATAGACACCATGAGATTATGGTTTGATCCTTTGTACAAGCCATCTGTTTAGTATGAAGCAGTGTTAAGCGTATCACATAGAGCAATTAGAGAAACTGGTTAAACAAAGACTTCAAAATGGGAAGTCTCTGGCAGTCCTGGCAAAAATATTTAAAATACAATACAGTACCTTTTCTACAAACTGCTCTATGAAATAGATAACTCCCAGCAGACTGGAACCATTTGCACTGAAAACACAAGCTTAGATTTAATGCAAGAAAGTTGCTGCTCTCTGCCATCTTATTTTTAGATGCTTGTATATGATTTTTAAGCCACTTCAGTATTTTAAAAATAAGTACTTCTGCTTCAAATGTACAAACTTGAACATGAGGACCTCAGAAAAATATGGGGTGAAAGCAAATAGTGCTTTCCCATTTTCTTTTGGAAAACTTGATTTTGGTTGTTAAAGTGTACAAATAGTCAGCCATAAAGTTACTTCAAATAATAAAAGGAAAACACATCTAGTAGAAAGCTGCAATTTACAGGTGAGGAACATTCCACAAGAAATGCCTGGATATGCAGAAACATCTGAATATGAGTTTTCCCTTGTTCTAGGTAATTTACAGAGTTTTTATCATAGTACAGCTCTGCTCATTCAACAAAAATATTTTGTGGTTTTAGGCATACACACAGAAGCAAATGAGTGTAAAAGACACAGAAAGCAATATAATTTAGCAGGGGGAAAATGAAGAATTTCTTGAGCTGCTAATAGAAAGGAAGCACATTGGCCTAGAAACCCCTTTTTGTTTATAATTTCATAAACGGAGTCAGTAGCCTGAGACAAGCCTGTCACATCTTTGGCATAGAACAAGGGTCAGTGATGGATAACTGACCTCCTTTCTCACTTTTATCAACAAATGTCAAAAAAGGCAAACAACAGCAATGACATCCTGCCCAAACAGCCAAGAGTGTTTCATTTTCTTTGCACTTCTGTTTCCTCTGTGCCTTTAATCAGGGCCGGGGGATGTAATTGCTCTGTCTGGGCACAGCTTAGGGCATGCTGTGCAACTAACAATTAGTTTAGAGGCTGAGATCTATAAATTTTGAGAAAAGAGTAAGAGGATTTGGTGTGCTTGAGCTATCCTTTCTAATGAAGAAAAATATCACACCGGAAGGGACCCAGAGTGTTATCAAAGCAACTTAATATCATCTGGTAGTGATTTGTAGGCCCTCATAATCTATTGTGATCATGTTGAAGGGGGGAGGAAAAAGTCCACGTGTTCCACTATTTATGAGATTTCCCAAACGATGGCCGCCATCTGTGCAAACGCCACTAATCGCAGCCACCGCCTTCATGGCAAATGGCTCCACGAGACTGTCCGAGGGAAGGGAAACACTGCAGGAATGTGGGGCTATTTATTGTTTATAAAAATAAACCAACTGGACTAAGACATATGCGAGGAATTTATATCAAACAGCTGCAAAAGCAAGTTGCCTCAATAGGGAGGGTGCATCGATGATGCAATCGGACCACACTGAAAGGTTTTCCTATTAATCTTAGAATACACATGGCACACTTGAGATACTTTGTCCCCAACTACACCCAAACTCACCTTAGATGGGTATTCTTCAAGCAGTTTTTGAAAACAGTTTATGTAGTCTGAAACTGTTTTATTATGTGAGTTTATGAACTAAATAAATATAAACAAAGTCTAAGAACAGTCTGTCCCCATAGAAGCTTACCTCTCTTAAACATTTCCTCGTTACTCTCTTAGCTAAACAAGCACAATGCAGATACTAATACTCAGTGTTTGAGAACCATGCACACCAAGTTTCTAAGATTTGAAAATTTCTTGTTTTATGGTTAGCAGCCTAGTCCCACTAAAGTCCTTTCCTAACTTCTTGATGAAGAAGAATAAATCCATCACAAAAAGAAACAACATTCACTGAGAACAAGGAGTCAAGGAGTAACCAAATAACACCAAAACAACAAACAGTGTCTCAGCAAACCCACCAAGTACAGTATTTTAGTGTTGGGCCTGCGCAACAGCATCAGATAAAGGGGAAAAGAGATCTGATCAGAGAAACAAGCTTCTTGCCTTTACAAAGCTAGTTTACCAAACATGCTTGACACCTGACAGAATCTTACTTTTTTAACTGTTAATGGCCTGGTATACATACAGGAGCCTCTGGGAAAATCTCTTTTTAGCTCTCCAAGCTTGAAAACAGCTATCTTTGCTTTTCATTAAAACTGCATGCACTTTGAAACAACTGCCTTCAGGAAAACTCTCAAGCTGATTGACTCTAACATGAGAATTAATTCAGACTGCTTTAGTGTGTGGAAAAGGCTCCACAGAACAGTGTGTCAGAATTAGGCTTTTCCCTAATACAAACTGGCAAGGATTGCTCTTTTGGGAATCCTGCTCAGCTGGAATTCAAACACTTTGTTTGACAACTGATTTTCAAGGTGTGTGTCCTTTTCTTTTAAACAGACACATGATGCTTGAAAGCCAAGATACAACGGTGCATATGTACATATATATGAATAAGAAAAGGACAGATCCTAAGAAATCATTTGCTATATCTTGTGAGTGTTACTTACCCATGCTGACACCAGAACTTTCTAGCTAGAAGGAAGGAAAAATGTTTTGTTTGCTCAACTTGTTTAAAAAGAGTGATCATAAGAGCCACTAGTAGATACCAGTTGTGTTTTCTGACTTCTGGGAGACTCTAGGATTTGAGTCTTCCTATTTTTAGGGTAAAAATTGTTGTACAGTATTTTA